AAGAGGAAATAATGGAGAGGGGCAAATGAGATGCTCCCCACAAGTCCTTGTGGGTCCCATACTTGTAATTTTTTTTTAATTAACTGTGAAATAGCAATTGGCTTTTGACACCAGCTTTGCACTGGTAACTCTGAACTTAGTTGTTTGTTGCTTGCTTTTTCAGCTAAAAATTCTTCTTGCAATTTTTACTCTGAGTTCGAATGTGGAAATGGTGAGTGCATTGATTATCAGCTCTCCTGTGATGGCATAGCACACTGTAAGGACAAGTCTGATGAAAAGTTGTTCTATTGTGGTAAGTCAATCTGCTATGGGTTGTTGTTTTCTCTCTTGATATGGTTACATTTTGGTACAGAATTTATTTTACAGTATTTATAGTTCACTTTTCTTAAAAAGTCCCATGTTTCTGCCTGGCAATAAATATTATCCATGGGTTGCTGACTAGATTCCGTATCTCAATATGTGTTCATCCAGCCCTACGTATAGGAATGTTGTGCAAATAATAAAGGCTATCTTTTTTGTTGATGTTGTTTGCTTTTTTTGAATTTACCAGAAAATAGAAACTGTCGGAGAGGTTTTAAATCTTGTCTTAATCATCGTTGTATATCCACCAATAAAGTATGTGATGGGAAAAATGATTGTGGTGACAACGCTGATGAAGTGGGCTGTGAAGGTATGGTTTTTGGCTCTTCTGCATTATAGTCACTTTGTCTGCTATTATGTGTAATGTAATATTTTAGGTGGACAGTAAGAGGTGCACTTCATAACAATTACTGATAGGTAATGAAAATTAGGCTTAAATGACATCATTTAATTTTTTTAAATTGATTCTTGAGATGTAACAGTGATGAATTTTCTGAATGTTTCCATTGGCACTAAGTATCAAAGAAGGCCAAATATTATGGTATATATACATGACCTATACATTGGCACAGGGCTATTTTTGGGCAGGAACACACAGGAACGGAGTTCCGGCTGGCTCCTGAGTTGGCCACACCCAGCAGGAACTCATTAGCATAATAGGCCACACCCAACAGCAGAAACTCATTAGGATTGGCTATATTAGAAGTGTGTGACCTAACATGCAAAGGAGTTTCTGCTACAAAAAAAGCTCTGGGTTTTGAC